AGATTTCTCTATTGTCTAATGAACAATGTCAGAGTATTAATGATGCAAAAATGAATTAAGCAGAAAAAGACATTTCTACTTCATACATTCTACATTTTTTAATTGACATAATTCATTAAAGTTTTTTCTAAGCATTAAAATACTAATATAAGATATACAAACAAATGCAATAGGATTGCTATTTATGATTAATGGGAAAAGCAGTGATAGAACTTTAGTTCTTAATCTTTTAATCAACATTTTTTGAGTTTTTCTAGGTCTTCCAATCATCCTGATCACTGGAAGAATTTTTGTTGGCTGACTCATGCCTTCTCCATCTTGTATTTTCTTATGTTCTACCTCACAGTGACTCTATTTGAATCCTATGACATGTCCATTAATTCCCTGTGCAGGACTTGTAACATACCCTTGGCCTTCTATATCAATGGCCCATGTTTAACTTATGAGAGCCACCAACATTCTTGCATTTTCCCAAGTGTTTTGAAAGTGCAACTGGTTTTTAACACAACCAAATCTCTGGCACTGCTACAGCCTCTTTTCCTTAAGTTGCTTGGAAGCATGAGAAACATCATACTGTGTACTTTCTGTCATTTATAATTTTATCTCTACATATAAATCTCACTGTTATTGTTTTTATTTTTTAGGAATTTAATTACTTCTTAAAGCTGTTTAAAAAAGATAAAAACATGTTCTACATATATTCATATTTTTACCAATTCTGAAATCCTCCACTTTTTTGTGTAATATAAATCCAAGTTTCTACCTAGCTTTGCTTTTTTATTAGTTCCAGTAATCTTAGTTCACATACAATGTACCAACAGTCAGTTGGAAATACATTCATATTTTGAATAAAAGATATTTCTTTCATTTTTATTTTTGAAATGTATTTTCAGTAGATATGGAAGGGACCTAAATGGATAATTGCTTTTATATTTTTAAAATTGGTGATCAATTATCTCTATTTTGTATTGTGCTTGAGAACACTGTAGCAATTATCTTTTTTCTTTGGTATATAAATATGTATTATTTTTGGAATTGCTTTGCAAAATGTTTGCTTCATCACTGCTATGTTAATATTGCATTATTATGTGTGTGTGTGTCTTGCTTTGGAATTATTAAGATTTTAGCTTGCTTATGGTTTAAATTTTTCTTATCATTGAGAACATTTTCACTACTATTTTTGAACTATTTCACCCGCCCTTTTTCTGGGATTCCAAATTCACTTACACATAACCACTTGATATGGGCCACACACATCACTTAGAGAGTGTTGTTTTTTTTCTGCTTTCTTTTCTTTTTTCGAGCTTCTCTTTGTACCATTTATGTTATTAGGTAAGGTTCACTTATCTTTTCCACTGGAGTCTAGTCTGTTGATAAGTACATGTGCTCAATGTGCATTTCAGATATCATATTTCCTATTGATTATTTTTATAAAACCATCATCTTATTTTTCTGTTTTCTTTAAATGCTAATTTAAATACTAAGTACTATTTCTTTAAATACTGTTAATTTCAATAGTTATTTTAATGACGTTGTCTTCTAATTTTACTTTTGTTGAAATTTCTAGGTTGATTTCTATTGGATGATTTTTCTCCTAAATATGGAATGAATTTTCTCATCATTTCACATGCCTACCAATATTTTCTTGGATGTCAAGCTGTAAGATTGTAATTTACTGAATGCCATTTTTGCTTCAAAGATGTTAGAAATTGAATGGGAAAAAGTGTGAATTGATTCCTCCTCAGCTACTTCACTGTAGTGCTGTTGGAAGCTTTCTTTGGATGAGTATTCTTCATTCTGTTGCTCCTTTCCTGGAAGTAGCCCTCAGTCTTCCCTGAGACCTAGTTGTGCTTGAGCTCTGGGCAACTTCTAAACTTATGCCTTCCCATCTATTTTATTGTTGTTTTGTTTGTGGTTGGCTTCACATAAATTTATCATACTCATGTACGGCTTGACATTTCCAGGCAGATTTGTGGGCTTGACTATGTTCGTGACTACTCCATACACGACATGGAAAACACACTGTTGGGGCGTGAGAGGCCGAATGGAAGAAGCACTAACCCTGAGTCCCGGAATGCTGGTTCTCACTGGGGCACAGGTGTCCCGAAGGCGACGTGCTGCAGCCAAGTCCCTCTACCCACAAGCAACACCCTACTCTCTTCTCCATTCCTGTTTCTGGTTTACACTCCCTTTTAGTCATAAACAGATGTTGTTTTATCTAATGTTATGTCTTTAGTTTGAACAATGTTTATTTGCTCGTGACTGCTGTTAATCACTGCTCGTAATTGCTGTTAATCATCAAACCGCTATGATCGTGCTTTTGTGTGTGGCCTTGAAACTACTATAAAGACCCTGGATGAGAGATAAACTTTGCCATTAGCCATCAGCTTTTGGTCATTCATTGTGTCCACGGTTGTTTCCCCAAGTCCCTCCTCTAGAAGGAGATCTCAACAACACACCACTTTTAAAGATAATACAACAATTATATACAGATTAGCCTGATGATGGAAATAAAGTTAAAAAGATATCAAATTAGTAAATTAAAGTAGGTAGTTCATCAACCATTGAGACTCAAGCTAAAATACATATTACAAAGAGAAGACATCCTGAACCACTTTGGTGATAATTACAAGCTAATACTACATTTAAAGCTGTGCAAATACAATCAAATATAATCACCAAGTCAATTTATAAACATCCATGTTTTTCATTCTGAGAGGCACAACAGAACTGGACTTTCCACTCCTCTTTGAAGTTAGATAGAAGCCTGTGACTTATGTAGCCCACTGCCTGTGAACAGAAATTAGTTTTACCATTTGTTGGTATGTAATAAGGTTTAGACCTAAATGTTCTCCCAAATTTTCATGTGTGTGGAAGTTTATTGGATCATGAGGGTGCTGTCCTTATAAGTTCATTAATCCATGATGAATCCATAGCTGAATATGCTGTAAGAAAGTGAACCTGTTCAAAAGGGATGGTTCATGGGGCCGTGAACTGGAAGGGTTTATATCCCCTCCACTTCCTTCCTTTGCTCTTTCTGCTTCCTAGCTGCCATTAAATTAGCAGCTTGCCTCCATGGAAGGCTTTTACACCATGCTACTTCTGCATTTGAGTCAGCCAGCCATGGACTGAGACTTCTGAAACTGTGAGCCAAAATAAGCCTCATTTAATTTGTGAGTGTCCTAGCCACGAGAAAGTGACTAACACAGTATATCATTTTTGTCAGTGTGGTGCAGTACTTACTATATCTCCTTTCCCCTCTTACAGTAATTCTGAAAGGCATTTGAGAAGGAACTTCCTTCCACCAGCTTCCTTAAAGACCATTAGGGGAAGAGTTGACATTCTTGACCTGCCTTGAACATAAGTTACTAATAAATAAATTTCTGTTAAGCTATGGAAAGTTTTGGACAATTACACTAAAGCATATCTTAGCAAACTTGACTATACTTGACATTTTTCCTCAATGTAAACTTAAGTCCAATTCAATGGTATATACTTGTATAATATTCTTTTTTTGTTGCTTTGGTTCTGTTTGTTTTTATTTATTAGTACATGTTGGCAGTACATAATGTTTACATTCCTTAGGGGGAGTTCGTGTATGTGCATAACACATCTTAATTGCTCTTTACTTCCTCTTTCCCTTCCCTCACTGTTTCTCTATTCCCTTTTCTTTTGAGAAAGATCTAAAATTCTATGCTAACTTAATATCCTTGCATAATTGTCATGTTGTGTTTCTGTGGCAGAGAGCTGGCAGAAGTTTAGGAGTGAACAATGGCAAAACTAAATGGAAAGTAAATGATTCATTTGTAACATAGAAGAAAGACTACAGGCAGAAAACATTAGCGTCTGGAACAGTAAGCTTCCTTGCTTTTGAGGTCCATTTGAAATTGTTCCGTGATATTTTCGATTCTTGTTACATTCCCAGTATTTCCTTCACAAACCCCGAACATAGGAATTTTAACGTTCTATGTTCTTTTCAAATATTTCAGAGATGTCATCCTTCTAGGTTTCTCTACGAAAATACTGTAAACTGGGAAGATTATAAAGAGCTCAGATTCATTTCTTCCAGTTGTAGCTGCTGAGACAATGGGTTGAGCAAGATAAACCTTCTTCTGTATCATAATACAAGGTTATTAAATTATTAGTCTCATCGAATATCTGGATTCCAAGGAACTTGGAAAGTAGTTTTTAACAAGTATAGTATGCATCTAGTTAAAATACCTATCCCAATTTCGAAGAAAGATTTGGGGAGGCAGCATCTTTCTCTGTTACTATTCTCTATCTGTGTAACTTTTATTACTAATTAATCTTTCAGTGCTCCAGTTTCCTCACCTACTAAGTAGAAGATAACAGTATCAGCTTCACAGGATTGCTGAAGTACAATGAGTACACAGGAGGTTATACAATGGTATTACTATCCAGCTGTGTGGTCCATATCACATTTACGTGACTTACTATTCACATATGAAATGAAGGCATAGGATTAGACTTTCCACAGGACGTTGGAAAAAAATTTATTACATTAATATATTATATGTAAAAAAAGAAATCTGGAATTTAAATTAATTTAGAAAATACTTAGCTACGAATACTTAATATCATCCAATTTCAGTCATATTTGCATATGTAACATAGTGAGTGACCTATTTCAGTTTCTCTCATAGTTGTTGTTTTGTCTTCCTATTCTAAATGGGGACCTAGGAAGTATATTCTGTTTTCCTGGATGATTTTGCTTTGCAAGGGAAAAAATAGAAAATATTTGAGTAAAAATATCTTTTCCAAATATACAAGCTGTAATTTTTACTACAGGAATCGATAGAGTGTTTATTATGAGGGGTGACAAAAACACTGTAAAATACATGACTTTACTTTTCAAAGAATGAAAGAGTAACAGATTAGTATAGTTCAAAAGGAGTGAGTTTCCTTGGCCATTCTGTCATAGTACACTTAGCGTGGCAGAATGATGCTTTCTGGTAATGCTCTATGCTATTTCTTTCCAGAGTCTACCCTAAAGACTGGAGTTTCCAAGTTTGACAAGGAATTTCATAATCCAAGATTGGAAAAAACTGAGCCCAGTTATTGGAACTCGAGAGAGTCACAGGAGCTTAGTGAACCGGGATGAAGATATGAATCATATAAACTTGACTCTAGCATTCTTGTCTGTCATTTCCTGGGGAACACTTCTAGGTCGTTCCTCCTTGTGTGATGTTACGAGGGACACACCTACCGCAATGCCTTACACTTAATTTGTATTTCCAGGTAAGACCTTCCTAAGTTCTAGATTCTTGTGTCTAACTGCATACTATGTAACTCCTGTTCTTTAATACACGCCAGTAACTCAGACTGTCCAAAATGGAGCCCTTGCTTGGCTCCCTACACGTTTCACTCAGATGTATAGCCCTAAGGAACCTAGTGTTTTTATCCACAATGTATATTTACACTTTGCATTTTTACTTCGATTCTTGGCAGGCACAGAGACTATGAAAATCTGCAAACTGGAAAGCCCTTTCATATTACAAGTGAATAAAAAGCACTTAATATAGAATCATGGGTTTGTTTGAGAGATGAGCTGGCCCTTCCGTTAGAGAACAGAATGACTGACGGAACAGAGAAGAATTAGTAACACTAGCACTCACCGTCTTTAACAAGCAGATGTTCGGACAGATTTCAGTGCCCAGCACTGACTCTCTTCCTAAGTGAAGAGCTGGCCATCTGTTTGCTTTTCTTGTTTTGGTACCAGAGATTGAACTTGGGTCCTTGGGCTTGTGAGGCATGCGGCAGAACCACTGAGCTAAATCCCTGGCCTTTTGTTTTGATTTTTTGAGCATCTGTCTTAATTCCTCTTAAAAGAGAAGCTAATGACTATAGCTCCTTCTTTATTAATAAAGCATGCATTTCATCTCCTCTGTTAATGTTTTTCCTGAATTTAAATTTTTAAGACTTTATTAAATTAATTAAATTAAACAAATGTTATTAAGACAGCAGCACAATTATAGCAATTTTTTACATTGGCTTCCAAAATTTTTCCCTCTGGTTATAAATTATGAAATCTTGATTTTAGAGGGAGTCACATAAAATCTGTGAAACTATAATGAATTTATATATATTTTACTTCAAAAGTAGATCTCTTCCATGATTTGAAAATTTTTTGCTCTCAAATTCATTTTGATTCTTTTTTCATTTTTTTCTAATTCGTTTTGAAACCTAACCTCTGCAGTGAGATGGCAGTTTGGGGAGAGGATTGGTGACATGGACTCTGCCCTTCAGAGTGGGACCAGTATCACTGTGAAAGAGATCTGGGAAACATTGTTAATCTCTTTGGCTATGTGAGGGCATGTGAAAGGTGCTATCTCTTGGAGACAGATTGTGAGGGATATCGGATCCTCTAGCTCCTTGATCATGGCCTTTCCAGCCTCTGGTAGTCTGTGAGCAATAAATGTATTGTCTATAAATTATCCAGTGTAGGGAATGTAATATTACAGTGTCCCGAATGGATGAGCATAAAATTTATTTATAAATTCAATGAAATATATCAACAATGGAATGACATACTTATTTAGTCAGAATAAATACTTGTAAACCTGGCTTTACATTTTATAATCTATGGTATTGATGAAGTAAGTCTCTTAACTTTTGTGATTCTCAATTTCCTCATGAATAAGTGAAATTACTAAAAATAGCATTAGATGCTGAACGAAAGAAAAAAAATAATAGTTATCTAGCATCATCTACATATTTTGATAGCTCTTCACATAACTGGTATGAAATAATAATTGTCAGTATCTGTGTTAGCTTTTTAGTGTTGTCATAATAAAATACCACAGATTGGGTGATTTACTCAAAAGAAACGTTTCTCACAATCCTGGGGGTTCTGTGTCCAGGACCAAAGTTTCAGCAGGTTTAGCTTCTACCAAGGCTTTCTCCCTGGCTCACAGATGGTGATCTTCGCAGTGCGTCCTCCTCACCTGGACTCTGCTCTGGGGACTATCACTCCAGGTATCTGTTACTCTCCTTATAAAGACAGTCAGTCTGGGCTGGGGATTTAGCTCAGCGGTTTGGTGGCCTGCCTTGCAAGCGCAAGGACCCGAGTTCAATCTCCGGTTCCAAAAAAAAAAAATTTTTTAAAAAAAAAAAAAAAAAAAAAAAGACAGTCAATCTCTTTGAACCCCAATTACATCTTGAAATTCCTTGCCTCCTAATAGAGGGGTTGAGTCTTCAATACCCAGCTTTTTGTTTGGGTAGAGAGTAATTCAGTCTAACAATCATATCTACTGTTTTCAGTAACAGTAAGCAATTTGTCAAAGGTAAAAGAGCTAGCAGATGTCAGAAAGAAAAGCACATGTGATCCCCAACACTGTTTGTATACCACGTTAGAGCACCTAGGCATGCATGAAACACAGAGACAGATGAGCAATTCTGAGCCTATTTTACATTTATACTAGAATTGAACAAATAAATTAAAAACTCATAGACTGAGAGCCAGACTTCTCATTTTTTTGTATAGAAATTTAAACTAAGAAACAATGGAAAAGGCTAGAGAAAACATTATGGTACCAAATTAACATTGGATATATTAATATAAAGTTACATTTATTTTTACAGTCACAAGTAGGTAGGTAGGCAGCAGATCGATGGATAAAAATAAAGTGTTATGGAAGGAATTGTTAAGTGACATACACACAGAAACACAGAATGGAAGTAGACAGTAAAAGGTTTATTTTGCTGGTAAAAGGTTGATTGTATTAAGAGCTGTGTTAGTGAGTGACCCTGTATTGG